CAATGCTGATGAGAATACTGTTAGGCTTGCCCGTGCTACGATCCCGATTGTACGTTATCGAACAATGCGAAATCCTTATACATGAGAGCGCCACCAGTTAATGGTAACAATAGTAATATGGTATAACCAGCTAACAGACATAAGATCCACGTACAACGTGACGACAGGGTGGTCACGGCAAAATGGCCGCTCAGCAACGGAACTTGCGTTGAATGAATCAATGAGTTGCTCTGAGTGGGCGGAGCGCTCATGTGTGATCGGTAGCTGCATACAGCTGCGAAGAAAGAACTTCCATCAAAACAGAAGCCATAACCTGCTGGGCCAATCGTTTATGTGGTCGAAAATTGCCACATTGTCAATACTAAATGCTACCCGTACGCTTACCAGGAAACATTGTCTAGTCCGAGTCTATCTTTTGAATCGCACGTGTTCTGCGTAGGTGTGTCAAACTTTAGCTATATAGAGCGAATCGTTAGAACAACGCCACTACCCGTCTAACACTGAGTTTAGATAGCCCGCAACAAAGAATGCTCGATCAGACAAAAGTGTCTGACCAAGTCTAGCTATTCTTGGCCCTTCGTTCCCGGAACGTGTCAGTAAACTCATGGCAAATGCGCGTGCATCCAGCAGAGACCATTTACGCTTAATTAACACATGTGCTGAATATATGCTCGTGAAATCAGGCTATAAATCGTTTCAACCTTCAGTGACCGTTCATGATCTCAGTATTCGCCGAGTTTAACTTCATAGCTAATGAAGGCTCTCGTACAAGGCTGGCATAAACTTAACATGCGTACATAGTTGAATAGTTTAAAAGATTTTAGACAAATTAAAAGATAATGTAATATTAACCATAGCTTTCTTTAGCGTAAGCACAGGACGCAATTCTACAAGTAGATTCTGCCTGTGGTAAAGAAAGAAACGTGAAATCACAGTCTTCGACGGTAATGCATAACGATGCTTTTTAGAAATGCCTTTGGGGCATGTTATGGTACAGTGATTCCCGGAAACAAGGCTTTCTTAGCATGATCCCGAAAGTGGAAACTGCCTCTCTTATAATACTTGATGAGGACAGCCTTGGGCTAACCATGCTTATAACAAGTTCTGTTGTTTTCTATGAGGAATAAGGGCAAGACAAAACGATTTTAGAAAGCTGCAAATTCTGAGCATCAATTTTTATACAAGAAAATGTCTTACGAACCGAACATACTTTTGATTTTCTCGATTTTAGACCATCCAGTCTTTCTAAAAGCGAGCCGTGTGTAGACAAAACAGCGTAATCACAGTATAGATAGGTGTATACAATTCGTATCCCGTGAAACGTTTCAACACTTCAGACATTTCGAGAGCTTTGTAAAGTTTCGGTGCAAACATTCGCTTCAAAGAAAATTGGCACGCAGATAAAAAATTTAAGAGTGTCCCTTCAAGGCCAGCTTTCATTAAAATGTTTTTGAGGCAGTCACTCTATTAGGTAAGTAGATTTCAAGAACAAAATTCTGTACAACAGTGAAAAGCCTAAAGGAGCAAACGCTCAGAGAAAAACCAATGCGTACCAAAATTGGTACAACATTTTCCAGACTTTTCATACGATGCCTCTCATTACGAATGAATTGAAGTTCTCTCAAGATCCAAAGGTACCCAGACGTACTCATACACAATCTCATTTTAGCGCATATTTTTAACACGAATGATCGTATGTACTCCATGTTTCTGGCAGGTGGCCGAGACTCGGTTTAGATAAGTTTCCATTCATCCAAGTATCCGTTGTCTATCACTCTCCGTCAGCATTTTTTGTATTGCTTTGTGCGATTTAGGAGTAAAAGGTTCACCCTAGATGCTTTGACCAAGTATATCGCTTAGCGAGATTTGTGCCCTGGGTCATGTACTTAGAGTATCTCATATCGTTGTCGGTTTCGCCATCTCTCTTCTATCATACCATCGCACAACTGGCCTGATCTCCACAGCACCTTGCTCGTCGCCTTTTCCACTACTTAGACCAGCAAAGGCAGGGCAATCGCCTCCTGCAGGAGCATTGGAAAATCTCTCTTCGATGTTGCCCTGACTGTTTTCGCTTTTTTCCTATTATTTCTCATTCTCGCTCTTTCGTTTTTGCCCTCACTATCTGCCATTCTCCAATTCTTGGCGCTCTTTTGTCTCTTGTCGCGCTGCGTAGTTCTTCGGTTTCCCCCCTGTTTTTGCTGCTATTCCCTGTAGAAGACTTATTTCCGCTCTGTAGGAGGCACCGCGCGCTGTCGGTTGAGTCCTATGCTCGCTCCCTTTTTTCCTGTACTACAGACATGGTGTGCCCTCCTGGAAACATTGCTACTACTGCTGCTACCGTTACAGCTTCTGCTACCGCTTTTGCTGCTACGGCCATTAGTAACTACATTGGCAGACTATTGCCGGAAATGGATGAGGGGTTGGGTATCTGAAATGCTGCTTGTATTGGGAACTGTCACCGGGCAAGGACGACGCGGGGTAGTAGAACGGAGCAGCAAGATTAAGAAAACTGCGTAGGAAGGCGTCTTCCCCACATCTCTTTCAGGAACCTAAACAGTGGTCGGCGTTCTTCGCGTCGTTGTCATTGATGTCGTTACTGCTGTTGTTGGGCTTGTTCTCGCCGGCGTCTTCGTAGTCGCAGCAGGACCGCTATAGCGGTGTTGGTATGTCGTAGAGCCATGCAGCTTCTGTGTTGGCTGTTCTAGTAAGAAACATGGGTATAGGGCGCGTCGCATGTCCCTTAGTTCTGTCTATGGGAACTCTTGAAAGCAGAAGGCGTTCCGGGGCCACGACTTTTAGCTTTCCCCACCGCTCTTGGCTTGAACTGACGCTCAACGCAATGAAGTTCCCTTGTCACGTCGAAGGCGTCACTCCTTATTTGCTTCGCGTACCCTCGTATTGACGCAGGCACCAGTCAGCCCATTCCCCTCTTGTACCGGGCCACTCTGGACCTTTTCTGCTGCTCCAGCTGTTTTTCTCTTGCGTTATACACCAGAGCGCTATCTTAACTCTTATTTAGACCTGGACTACTTACAAAGGCTCACACAGGACGATGAATACATGCACCGACTTTGCCGTAGCGGTGCTATTGCCGTCTTCCGCAGTTGCTGCCGGTTCCGTGCCTGAAACTTGTCAGTGCCAGCACCGCGCTAGCACATCACTTCCTTCTTCTCCCTCGCGTTCTGCGGGGACTGACATCTACCACCACCTAGATGCGATCTGCAAACAGCCTGCCACCTGCAAACAGCCTACTCTATGCTGTACTGCTTACGTATCAAGCCAGTGTAGTAGTTCAGATCGTAGGCGGTACCATGAGCTAGAAAATCACGGATAGTGCCGTCCAAGTAATGTATAGTAACAATGTAAGCCGTAGACAACAGATGGTGACGTCATTCTTCGGCCGTTCATTCTGCCTCTCGCTCAATCTGATGGTCCCTTCCTCTTTAGTCGTTCGGATGATGCTTACCTATCCGCTAAGCAAGCAAGTCGCCTCACCAGCTGTTACCTGTGACGTGCTCGTCTATTTTGTTCTTTCCCGCGCCCCACAAGTCTCTCCCTTGGAGTGTTTTCCTGTGCCAATGTAGCCCACTTCTCTTTCTCTTTTATGTGTCTAAAAGACAATTAGGTAATTAGTGCTGCTCACCAACCCCGGCGCCTTAAAAAACAACCTCTTTTCGCTGCTGATCTTTGTCCGCTAGGAGGTGCAACTTCGCGATCAACCTATTACTTTCTAACAATATAGGGGTATATGCTTCTGTAGTTAGCAAAAAGGTTTGACCAGGTGTATTTTTATCATATCGATCCCCTAGAAGTACCTTTCTTCTCACTGTAGAGGAAAGGTGATTCCTAACTGAAATATGCCAACATGTTTTCACGGTTGAAGTAAAAGTATGTATGGGTTTAATTTATGCTAAAAATTCTACCAGAATTACTTTCGCTTTTTTTTTTTCTCTTAATTTCAGTCAGACCGGCTATAGCGTTATAATTTTGTAATTCATCTTTAAAAGTTCCGTTTTTTAACGTATAATGTTGAAACATGGACTGTTCTCAGAATGTTAATTATGATTGGGTACTCTACACCGAAATTTGCTATAGCCTCTTAATCAGATACTGCATGTTTTCATAGAAATTTATTTTTCAGAATTTCAGCAAAGAAAAAAATGTCAAATGAAAATAACAAAAACTGATAAAGTGATGCTGCGTTTTGAAGCTCTGCCCTTTCATATCTCTAATTTGAATCTCAAAGATCAGGCGTATCCTTAATAAAACCTTGGGTGAAGTTAACAAGCACTATGGAACGCCATAGAGAACCTTCCTATCAAACAGCTCTCATCAAGCATGTGGGCATACGCTGATGGCATAAAGAATGCTCTTCCTGCTCTTGCAAGAAACCCCACAAATATTTCTTTCCGGAAGAGCCCCATACAGCGACCCAGGAAGCTGCTGTAATTTCTCCCAATAGGATACGTTTTTCGAGAGGTCTGCTTCAGAATCGGGAAACGTGCAAAGAAGAGAAAGTTTGCAAAATTACCCAACAAACTAGTTGGACATCTTTGCAGATTGCCTCATCTACATAGTGAACAGCTGGTCACAGGAATGTTCTATATATGTACAATATGACTCCGTATGCGGCGTTTTGATGTCTGTGTAGGGCGGCTGCGGCACGTTGTGAGACGCTTTCACTTCAAGGGAATCATCAGCAGCAGGACAACTCTTATGATACAACCTTCGTGAAGCCGTGTTGTCGCACAGGGTAGTTTAGGTTCTCAGTGTTGCACTGACCTCCCCGCCACCCTCGCCGCAACTTTAAAAACTAACGAGTAGACTCCGTCTACTGGATAGAGGAGGGTTAGACAACGGCTGCATGTTCGGGCCGAGTCGGAGAGGGTCGAAGCGGCTCGCTCCCGCCACCTAGCGGCTACTCGCAGTGCAGAAATGCCTGTTCTTGGGCTTCCAGATTCGCCGTCAGGCCAGTACTATTCGGAGTTCGTTGCGTCTACGTTATATTAGCGGCACTAGTTTTAGCCGCGGACAGGCCTTCAAACATACACGCACGCACATACACATACACAAAACAAATATACACACGGCCGCAATATGACAAAAGATCAACATGATATGTGCTATGGTATGACCTCTAATCTCTAGTGGTTTCGTGTGAGAGCTAAACGCGTAGCTGTTGCATGAGTTATTATTTCTAATTATACGAAGCCTTCTACCGTTAATTTATTTTCTTGCGTTTGTTCAATCGTCGGTAAGTCACTGAGCAGTGACCCGAGACGTGCAATGCGAGAATTGATTGATGTGTTCTCCGTCATTACCTCGGGAGAACGTGAGCTACAGTGCGCGAAGGCACCTCTGGAATACTCTACTGTAATACATGTCTACAAAGGACATTGTTGATCTAGAGCGATCACCGAATCTTTGGCGCGTTCTTCTGCGTCACCTGTGATGTGACTGTCATGTGTGTCTTGCCGTTGTCACATGCCAAAGTGCGCGTCCCGCACCGGATTATTAATACCACAACTAATGACACTTCAATTACGTTTCTCATTGGTAATATAACTAGCACCCTCGTCAGCACCTTCACCGTAGCATCCGTCATCCTTGTTGACGCGAATAGTAGTTCTACAGAGTACAGTACGAGCTGCTGTCATTTTTTTATTATCAGCGCCGAACGGTATCGCTGTAAAGGACAGCCATTTCGACGGTATTATAGGCTAGAACGGCACTCTTGCGACAACAGACATACTACCCAATTGGATCGTGTCTCGACCTTGGCGCTTTCACATCTGCGACAAACTCCACCGTCTTCGACCTTGACGCGGCGTCCGTTTTCTGCCCCACTACCTCGAGAGTATCAAAAATCCTATAAATCTTGCTGCCCTGTACTTCTTCGAGGCGGTATCACCATCGCGAGGGCTGCTTTTCAAGGAAAGCGCTGGATTGAACAGCATCGTTTTCGACAACATCTCTTCGTGGATAATCGTGTACAAATCAACATGCAAATGCAGGAAAAGTCTTGTGTTACATTGTTATTATGTTGATGTGACTGCCAACGCTCAACGGCTACTGGAAGATTTTGTGCTCCGTGCTTTCCTGCACCTATCGCTCCGGAAGTGTGTGTCTGTGTCTTGCGATCCTCGTGTGAGTGAGTGTGTTAAATCTGTGCTGCATATCTCAGGTCGAGGCGTGTCTTTAACTTTTTGACATCGGCTGAGATAGCCGCCATAACAACGATGATGACGACGAAGATTGCTTATTTTATTTTATGGCTATGGCTGACTGGCACGATGAGCAGTGCGCCAGTTGTAGCCAAAGTCAACCATCGAAGTCATCGTCACGCAATCATTCAACCGCCTGCTGATAAGCTCAAGCCATTTGGTAGGTCTTCACGCCGTTGATAAAGATAATTGGGAACAATTAGCCCTAGGATGTCTGTACTTGTAGACACAATGCTTAGTGTACGCTTTTTTACAAACGTGCATAGCAGCAAAAAACACTATAGTAAGATTTGTGTGTAAAGTGATGGCTACGTTCGTTGAAAAAAATATTTGTATCTACTCAGGAGAAATCAGACTTCTTCAAAATTACTACATACAAATAAAGTAGACAAAATACGTTGAAAAAAGTATTCTTGGTTTCAACTTTTTAACAGGACCATTCAATACCGCAGAATGTGATATGGGCTAAAGTGCTAGCAGCGTAAAGATAGACTTTTATAATAATGCAGAAAGAGATAGTGACTTTAGCTATAATATATAGCCTCCTCACTGGAATTACAGGTATTTTATAAAAGACATTACACGTCCGCGAGAAGGTCAACGAGTTACCCGCACTATAGGAATAAGACGGCTACAGTGCTTAGCAAAGCAATGCCACGGTAAATAGTGATTTCTCTGGGCTCCGAGAAAAGAAACAGAGATATCATAAAAGCTTGCGGCCATAAAAGAGTGTGTCCTAGGTGGCTTACCGATTTCATTATTGTTACTTGTTACAATTTAAATAGAGTTTCCTTTTTTACAATAGCAGGGTGACAACCAATAAGGTATCTGTCGTGCTCAAGTAAACCGCGGTTTACTTATTAGGAGAAAAGCAAATAAAATATACCTTCACGATATTGAATCCAATCGTTCGAAGTGATCGCGCATTGCCGAGTCATTTTACCAATTCCGATTTGTTCGTGTTCTATTAAGGATAATAGACAAATATTTAAAGAAATCCCTTGAATGTAGTAGTTCCGCTGCAAAAAATAACAACAGTAAAATTATTACTCATCGCAGTTTCTCGGATATTTGAAATTATTCTGCATTAAGGATTGTTCAGTGGCAAGTTGGGATATATATATTAATTAAGGCATATACATACGATGACCTTGAAATGGCATAAAATGCCATCTGCACACGACAATTAATTTTGAATCGGCATGTAAGGTAGGCCATGTTAGTAGCGACCCTCTTGACGAGGTGTTCAATGGAACCTTACCCCAAACACAGAGGTTATACCTAGGCGCTTTTAGGCCGTAAATTTTATTCGTTTGTACCCGTGCATACAACCTGTTAATCAAAAAGACTACAACAGCTGCGTACAGCAGTAGCTGCTAGCCACAAAATTTCTCGCTTAATCGTTCACATGTAGCCAACTGATGTTTCGATCGATTTCGGAACAGAGGTTAGAAGATACTCCCCCGTTACGTGATAAGAATAAAATAGTTAATTTTGATGATTAAATAAAACCAAGTAGCAACAACTTTGCGATCGTATCTATTACGTAGCAAAAGGGTACAGAACCGTGCTGCTGGGACAGCAGCTCTATATCATAGTGAATTGTTTTGAAAACCGCAACGGTGCCTACTGAATTTGCATGTCGAGAACACATAGTGCTTTTCGGCTTCCATTTTGCGGGATGGATAGGGCCAAATATATCTTTAATGGGAGAATGCTTGACGCGACATTACCTTTTACTGAAATATAAAAGCTTCGTAAATTCCTCTCTATTTCCAGCTCATGCGGTACAAATTCTCGTTCTTTCTGTATAGTGACTCCTCCACATACTGCCGTCAGTTTGGTGCGGCTGTCAGCGAAATCGTGCACACCTTACTTGCGTTTCTTCAGAATACGTATATGAATGACAGGAAGGGAACGAGCTGCTACGTGCACCGTTATAAAAGAAAAAGCCGAACGGGAAACAACGGGCAAAAAAAGAGAGGCGGGCACGGAGCATTTTGCGTATGAATAGCATGCAGCACCAACGGTAAACGTAGAAAGGAAACAGTCATGAAAAGTGCATAGCTTATGCTAGAGGCAGGCTCTTCTCTCTGTGTTGGTTCAGTTTCCATTTTGTATGGGCATCTCTCATAAGGCACGAGAATCTCATTTTTCGTAAACAAGGGTGAAACGGGACAGTTAACAGCGGAAATGCTTGGCAAAAACATGTCTTGGTGTGCCAACGAAGCCGTTGTATTGCAACGCTGGCTAACTCCAGTCCAATGAAAGTGGGGGCTGCTTAACTCAGGTACCCCTTTATAAGTCCTTTTCTCTTTTCTGCTAATCGGCGTGTTGGCCAATCCGTTCTCTCCCTTGCGTTAACGAGACCAGAGGAAACGCACAGAAAATTAATAAAAGGCACAGAAGAATGAGAAACGGTGTAGAAAATGACTCCCAGAAGACAGGCTCAGAAACAGGAACGCTACGCACTGCAATGCAGAGCAATAGCTAGAGGGAAGCGCTGGCTTAGGGAAGTACAACGGAAGATATGTACTAGCAGAAGAGTTTATTTCGATGATAGAAAAGGCAGCTTGAAGGTTTGGCAGGATGAGGCAATGTGTCTTCTAACGAGTCTGACACTGACGACGGCCAACAACGGATGGTTAAACGTGTTGACATCTAAGGTTAGGACAGATGGAGTAAATATGATGCCCAAAATTTCATACGTCGCCCGAATCTGTGAATGAGCTGTTGATACCGGTCAGGGGACCTTTAGGTGTTTGATAGCTAGAACTAAGTTTTTGCTCTCCAGCAGCACTAGAGCATGACTTAGCAAGAGTCTAAGCAGATTCAGGGCATACGAAACCGAAAGAACAAGAAACGACCAACATGATGAGCCTGTTTGTTGAGTCGTTCGAGAGTAGCACAACGAACAACTGATGAATGAGAAAGCGTAAAGAAGCAATCCACATCACTTGGCTTCTAACCATTCATCCGCTAATATCGTAGTTGGTGCCAGCTTCCGCTGCAAGATATTTCATGTCCGAAGTAGAATGGGTTTTGACTTCATTAGATCCGCAACACACCTTCCTTATGTCTTGTACTTTTCAGTATTCATAACGTGATTTAGAAGTAGAAGCTGCTTAATGCAAGCGCTTTGGGAAAACTTGTGTTCTGTGCACTCATTGTGAAACAGAGAGTCATCGCTGAAATTTCCGCAGTACCTGTCCGCGTTTCCAGCTTATCGTCGCGGCTTGAGAGACTAAAAATTCAGGTTTAAGTTAAGCCTGTTACTCTTGACATTGCGTCTTGTTAGCTGTGACGATGCATTCTATAGCAGTAAGAGCGTTATCCTTGCTGAGAATGAATCAACGGCGTTTAGAGGCAATCTGGGCGGTCTTCGACTTTGACAAACTTTAATTGCAAAACGTAACATTAGCATTAGTTTAGCAAACTTTTCCTAAAGGATTTCCCATTCGACATACACATGCTTGAAGTATAACATATGGATACTCAGGGCCCACAAGGGACCACGTTCACTAGCAGCGTTTGCGCTGCGGCACACAGATAATGCAGTTTTTACGCAGCCGAAAAGAAAACACTAGGTGTTTTTACTCATGGCAACATTATGATGTATAACTTATATTAAAGAGAAAACGATCGAATCTTACAACTCAGTCCAAATCAAATGTGCTAAGCCAACGTATGGTTATGAAAGTAGGGATAATTAACTGTTCTTTCGCCTTTCCTGGCCTATTACAAGGCACAATTAAGATCTAGTCGGTGCTTGATCATTGAGTATATACTACTTAATTATTTAAAGGTAAAAGTGCCATCATAGTTACTTGCCATGGACAGCAGCCTATTATAAATCAAGATTCACTCCATTCAAAATTGCACCGTATTCTGAAAAACGCTATCGTAATATGCGCAGTCATAATTATATTTTCTGCACTTCGTCAATTTTAGTAGGAGCGGCGTGTCGCCTCTAATTCGCTTGCTATATTGTGATATCGTATGGAATATTCCTTCAAACTGGTATGTGTGACTTTTATGGATTAAAGCCATATTCTTCAGCGCGTATGCTGATGCAAAAGTCCTCTTAGGTCCGGAAAATGAGCTGCATGGCTGCTAATATATATCTTCCCAAGGCTTATCATCTTATTGACTAGAAGAAAACCAGGGTGATACCTTTTTTGCCCTAACCAGCATAGCAGTTTCGATGATACCATATTGTAGGGTTCATTTGGTATTAATTAGAGGCTTGGTTTTTGACACGATCAACTGTGCTCGATACGTCTAAATAGGGTAATTGGTTGTTTTGGGAAACGTTACATGCTTCCCTCATACCAGTTGTCGTTCGTTTCTGGATCAGTTCAAATCAGTATAAAATATTCATAATATATCGTTATTCTGGCAATGTGCGTGCACTGCCTATTATAATAACAGAAGCATGCAAAAGCAATTCCTACAAAAAGCCCTCAAATGGCACCTGAAAGGATCCTATCTATGTTATACAAAGCGCCAGCAATACGCCTTCCATCGTAGTATAGCACCGGTCGTTTCACATATACTTTAAATACACGTTTTTGAAGCTTTGGAAACGCAAAAATGGGTAGCGTGTAGCTGCATTGACGCAAAATGAAATTCTAAACTTATCTATCTGAACCTGACGTTCAGTGTTATAATATACTTTTTTGTATAATTTTTCTTCGACTTGACATATTTCCAATTCCCGACCTAGTTCAAAGTACTCGATGCATTGACACTCGCTGCTACTTAGATCGCGGCGTTTTTTTTTTACGTCCCTACCTAAATAGGAATAATGGTGGGTGCGCACATTTACAGGGGGGTATGTACTCTTCACTTGACGATTTACTATATGTATTCTATAGAACGTAAAGCAGGTTCTGGCATTAGAGCGTATTGAGCGAGTAGCTGGAATACTCTCATATAACAGCAGCGGGCTTACTCTAAAACACGCTTAGAGAAGATACATTTCCAGCCTCATTGGACAAGATTATATCGCTTGATTGTACAAATTTGAATGGTGCCAAATAGTGAATGCCGTAAAAACGCTTTGTGAAAGCAGACATTATGCAGCACTGCATAAACATTCACATCACATACGAAACAATGCAAATAGGTTTAGTTAACAGCTGTATTTTTGGAGCTTCT